TTATCCGGATCGGGAGCTAACCGTTAGCACTAACCGTTAACACCAGCGTGAGAAGGCCCGATCGGTTGGCGCTAACCGTTAGTAGTATCGGGATACCGCTAACGGTTAGTAAGCGCTATCGGTTAGCAAGTTGAGCGCGTTTTTATCATCAACCAATCACACGTACGCGCTACAATTTCCAGTTTCTTATTGGCCAGTGATTCGATCATCATATTTTTGGTATCTGGATCGGGATTTTCTCGTATGGACGCACGGCAGCTAACGGTTAGCAGGATCCGGATCCTTCTAACTGTCAGTAGCCGTGTGAGAACATAGCCATTGGTTTGTCGCGTCAAAGGGATCTGTTGCCGAGTGATCTCCTTTCACACAGACCCGACGCGACAACAAATCGTGTCGAGCTGCGTCGTCGACGCTGTCTGAGTTGGCCTTTAAGAACATGGACCTATTAGTATTAAATAGGACCATGGTCAGAGTATTTCATCTTGAATTTTATGCTGCTGTTTGTGTTTCACTGCTTTTAACTGACTTTCGGCAAACTGAGGTCTGCAAACTGGGTTTCGGCCAACTAGATTAGGGCCTAATTGTTTTTGAGTCGGCAAACTGGTACTCGGCAAACTCGGATTCTGCAAAAGTGGTCTCGACAATCTGGCATTCGGCAAACTGAATTTCGACTATCTGGCATACAACCGACAGTGGAGTTTCCCTCCACTGTTGAACATACACTAATAGGCCTACCCTTCTTCTCTTCCACTACTTTCTGTCTGATGTTTATTAACACGTAATTTTGTGTTCAGGATAGTAGTTTAGGTTAACTAATGTATTAAAATTCAAAATCAACTGAGTCAATTCAATCACTGGTTTTATTTTTGCAATGAACCAAATACAAAAGCCCATACAAGGGCTGAAAACTAGGTCCTATCGCATTAATGTTCAGAGCAGCTGATATCAGGCTGACAATGGGCTGACACGGACTTGAAAGTAGCGCATGCGCAAAATATTAGCGATAAGAAGAGTTATTCATGAAATTTCACCAAACTTACCTACGAAAAACATAAAAATTTATTCGAGAGCGGCGCTAAGCGACAACTCAGGTTTGGTGCGGCGCTTATTCGAGAGCGGCGCTTATTCGTGCATTTACGGTAATTCACATTGTTTTCTTTTCGATAACATCCATTATATTAAAATCTGTATCCTCTTGATTGTTAAGTATTACGGTACGGTATTTAAACACAGTTAGGCTTAACTGTCCGGGCGTACCAGTATAACCATTTAACTTACTGAGAAATAAATGTTAGTATTGAATTGAATTGATTCGAACTACAACAAAATGGCAATAGCTAACAACATCTTTTCTCAAAACGAATTGTAATGCCGGATTTAGGAATAACCTGACCAAAATCATTGCATTCTATTGCATTTGGAGTCTTTTCAGTTGGAACCGCTCGATTTTTCCTGAAAACATGAATGATTGCGTATTTGACGGTTGTTAATGCAAAACGTATGCCTATGCAACTTCTTGGTCCATGTCCAAACGGGATCCATGAAATTGGATGGTGCTTCTGTTTGTTCTCCTTGCTGAACCTGTCTGGATCAAACTTATCTGGATCAGTCCAAATATTTGGGTTGTGATGAATTGCCCAGATGGGAATGGTCACAAATGTTCCTTTTTCAATCGTTAATCGTTTACTCGTCCATGTTGAGTTACATACCCTATCTGAAAATGGAATCGAGGGATACAACCTTAGTGTTTCCTGAATTATCTGATCCAGGTATTTCATCTTAGAGATAGCATCGTATGACACTGAATCTTCACCTTGCAAGACCTCTTCAATGTGACTGACAAGTTTGTCTTGGATATTGGGGTGTAGAGCCATCAGGTAGGATACACAACTCAAAAGTGTACTAGTTGTATCGTAACCAGCTACGATGAAAAACAGAGACTGTGCCACAATTTCTTCAGTTGACAGCAATAGGCCTACCTTAGGTGGGCTACAGCGATTATGTTTAACATCCGTCATAATGTCCGTCGTATTGGTATCGATCATTAAATTGATAAAATTTATTCCATTTGCATTAGAATCATTCTCTTTTGCTTTCACAATCTGATTAGTCACGTTAACAAAAAAGTCTAATGGCTCCTTTAGAAAAGTTTTTAAACCTAGAGAGCTAAATGCAATTCCTATTTTTGGGAACATCATAAGAGCAAACAACCAATTACGTCCGCCATTAAGGAATTTCTTAATGTGTTTGATAAATAAGCTTTTTGGATTTTTCAAAGAATCAAGCTCTAGACCAAAATTTGTACTTGCCACAATGTCCATCATAAAACAACCATACAGTTGTTTTACGTCGATTTCCTTAGTTTCAGCAAGACTTATTCTTTCAGACAATACTTCACAAGAATAATTGATCAATGGTGCTATCATTTTTATCTTACTTGTGCTAAAGGTAGGCGAGATTTTGCTCCGGACACTCTTCCATTTCTCCCCTTTTAGTTGAATCATCCCCTTGTTTAATGGTGTGAAGTTGTCGTCGATAAAAACTCTGTGATCGTGGAAATGATGAAAGTCTTTGATCAGTATATCTCGTAGTATGTCTAAGTCGCCTATGATCAACTGCGGATCTCGCCCCTGAAATACTCCGACGATAGGACCATATTTCAAAATATAATCCAAATGGCTCTGGTGAAATCCTTTTCTGAAAAACATATCAAACCCATTCCCAATAAGAGGTACAGGTTTTGGTCCAGGAACGCCTCGTTTTATCCAATATGTGAAACTCCGTATACTGTATTTGTAAATCCAAATGAACACCAATGTAATAAAAAGACATGACAATTGTCCAAATAAGAGCGAATACATAACTGTGTATCACACAGAACAAGTTTGTAACGCCTGTTACTTTCCGCGATTGGCGTTAGTATAACCATGGAGTTAATAGAGAGATATCATACTCCGCCCAGTTGTTAAACGCATGAAAGCACACACATCGCAATTTTAGGAGTTTTAATTCCAAAAAGATTGTAGGATTACCTTGGTAATACAAAACAGTTTAGATAAATGAAACGATCGTTATAATCGTTAATGCTTTCATGCTACTTTGTACAGTTAAAAGTCCTTGTTGAACTCATAATTCGTCCACAATTCAACATCTCTTGTTCTTGAAGTATTTTATGGTGAAGGCTAGCATAGTTCGCGGCACGAAGTCATATTATTTTCTTACAATCAAAACTACACAGAATTTTTTTTTTAATTGTCATTTCCAAAATAATATTTTATTGTTACACTTATTCCTAATAGCCAACGGAATTGCATTGAGTTGATTGTTTTATGTTTTAAAAAATCATTTAAAAAAATCAACTTAATGCAAACTTAAAATTTCTAATTTCTGAGATTAACGTTTTCTGCAATATATCACTGAAACAGCTCACGGTTGAAGTCATGTGAAAACATCTTGAATTAACCCATTACAATGACTAAAATTCTCTGCAAAAATAGGCATATTTTAAACATTTGGTTAACTTTATAATGATGCAGTAATATCATTATTGGAACCACTGCTGTCTAAAATGTACAGTATTATTATTGTTATTATTTATTTTTATGGCCATGCATGCAAAGAATTCAACGTGTGTACACAATAAAAAATATTTTTAAATTAAGTTTATTATAATTAAATGAATTATGATAATCAATCTGTGAAAGTATATGTACAAAAGTGAATACTATACTGCACGTGCTTATGTAAAATGTTCAGAAAATATATACGGTTAGGCAGGCGTGCAAAGACTGCGTCAGCATAATTCACTGAATGAAAATATGAATTGAATTTGAAGTCGATCACATTGTTGTCGTCTTATAGGAACATCAGCCACAATGCAATAGAATTCCTCGAAGAAAAAGCTTTTGACGGTCTGATCAATTTACAATCTTTGTAAGTACTCCTCAATTCAATTCAATCTTTTATTGCTGCGTGAACCATCAAGGGCCATTATCAGCCCATAAACTACAAAAAAAAACCAAAACAATACGTAACAATTAAGTATGGCTACTAGGCATTTTGGGGTAAGAACGTTACTCCACTAAGGTCCTAATGATCCGGAATGCCATCCGTTTCGGCCGCGAATCAATTTGGTCCCGATGTTTTTAACACCCACAAAATCGGGAAATTAAACAAATTTTGTTTGTCTTATTAAATATTATTAATATAAGCACTATATTCCCACAAATAAATTGGCTTATTATATCAGACCAATTGAGGCTCACGCTCGGTTTTTCGTTTTTTTTTTTGTTTTTTGTTTTTTTTTTTTTGTTTTTTTTGTTTTTTTTCTTTTCTTTTGTCAAATCGAAATAATTAATTAAAATATTCCTTTATATTTTAATCGGGATTATTATTTTTCAGAGATATATCTTACAACAGTATCACAAGTGTATATGGTGGTGTATTTGAGCAGCTGGTACATCTGACGTCACTGTAAGTTTAGGATGGTTAAGAAGTTAGGTAGAATATGACGGAAAGTATTTGTCGCCCTGGTTTCAGTGTTTATAAAATATGAAGCCACATCTTTGTTATAGCATGCATGGCCTTGGAAGTGGGAAACGATCATACACTTTTTTTTAAAGAACACATTTTATAAGAACACTGAGGCTGAAATTGCTTAAAGATTAAAAACAAAATAAGAACAAATTGAAGCTGAGGTAAAATGTCAAATGATATTTTTATTTTTAAAAATTAGAAAAACCAAAAATCATATCTGTAGGCCTACCTTATGCGCAGAAGGTGTGACTATGTAATACCCTCTATAATACAGTACAGTTAGTGTAGGCCTACCGTATCTTAGGGTTAAATATTCTAGTCACTTTATATAATTCCATTGTTTAGCGTGCTGAGGAGAAAATATCACGGTGCCTTGGGAGTGGGGTGGGGTGGGCAGGCTTAACCGCATTTTCAATAATACGGAACAGAAAGCGGCTCCGTCTACAGTGGCAGGGCGGCATTAAAATGTTGTAGGAATTTAATGCTATGTTTTCACGGCTGTTAACGGTTAGCAGGATCCGGATCCTGATAACCGTTAGCTGTCGTGCGTCCATACGAGAAAATCCGGATCAGGATACCAAAAATATGATGATCAAATCACTGGCCAATAAGAAATTGTAAACGCGTACATGTGATTGGTTGATGGTAAAACGTGCTCAACTTGCTAACCGATAGCGCTTGCTAACCGTTAGCGGTATCCGGATACCGCTAACGGTTAGCGCTAACCGATCGGGCGTTCTCACGCAGGTGCTAACGGTTAGCGCTAACGGTTAGCTCCCGATCCGGTTACAAGGGCTCTCGTGAGAACCAGGCTTAAAAGATCCCTCTCATTCTCTCCACTCTGTAACTGTCGCTAATTTTACTGAACGGAGTGGTAGACAAGGGTTCAAACTTAAATCGCAATCGACATCCTTTTATTTCTGTGGAATCAGAACCTTTAATGCAAATCTCCAAAGATAGGCACATAGAATTAGAAAATTAATTAAATTTAATTTGTACTTCAAAAAATGTATTTTGAGAACGAGAACGTCATAACGATCATGCAACTTCCTGTGAAAAGAATGAAATAAAGTTTATCTGTATCTGGATAGCGTATAATGATTGATTAATACTATAGGAGAGACGTGGACCTATCTCGAATGAAACCGAATTTGTTTTTTGATTGAATAGGTATTATAATACTCATTATCAATTTGTCAATTTGTTTCAGAGATTATAATTCTCATTATCAACTTGTCAATTTTTTTCAGAGATATATCTCAAAACAAGTTGAAAGTCCTCCTGCGTGATGCGTTTACTGGTCTAAATGAACTTGAAATATTGTGAGTACTATGAGTCAATCCAAAGATAAATCATGATGATATATGCACTGTCATCCGCTAGGCTTGATAAAGATTTCATCATACATTGTCCAGTAGGCCTACTGTGTATTAGCTTCCATTATTGCACGCACGTATTGCTATCGATTAGGCGACTGGCCCTTGCGGTCCACACAGCACGTTTAGTGCGCACGTTACTACTACGTATTAAAGTAGAAGCTGTTCTAATAATTAGGTCGAAAAAATGTTGTGTTACCCAAGCAGAGGATCGGCCGGGAATTTTGTTTATGCTTAACTCCATTGCGAACTACCATTTATCTCATAATATGTTTGTTGATGAAATGGTAACCAGGGGCTAAATAATATATTGAAGTTATAACATTAAATATTCTAAAAAGTTAAAAAATATTTTCAAAAAACTAAGTCGGTCGGCTTGGGCAATTTTTTTGGACTTACGTTAGTGAAAATTAGCAATTAGTTTTAGTGAAACTTAGCCAACAAGTTTGTCTTGTGATATAATGATAGATTGTGTTACCTGTCTCTTATACACATCTAGATGTGTATAAGAGACAGATTTATATATATATTATAATGATAGCCTAGGCCTATATAGAAATTTCCACTTTGCAGATATTATAACAAGAATAGGGTAAAGCTGAGGCCTATGTGGCGAAGGCGAATCTATATACTCGGTTTCCATTTTCTCTATTTTCTACACGTTTATTTTATCAAAGCATACCATTATTTAAATAGCATAACATTTCTTCCTTATACTACAACAGAAACAACTCAAATGTTCTATTTTTTACTCATTGTGATTAGATTCATGCACAATAATGAGATTCGATATATAGAAGGCAATACAATCGGAAACCTCCGCAACCTGAAGAGTATGTAAGTAAACTAATAAGATGATAAAATTACATGAGAAGGGCCCTACTTCTTAATAATTACATTTTTATTTATAGGCCTATGTAGGTATAATGTAATATTATACAAATAATGAATATTAACTATATGAGTGCAATGGGACAGTCCAATTTTTTCAACTGTCCAAAAGATGAACATTTCCCTACATGTCTATCACAGTACTAAGTAAAAAAAAATATTTGATTACTGTATGAAGAGGTGTTATAAAAGTGTGCTGTATTTAAAAATAAAAAAGGAACAAGTTATAAATAAATTAACAGCATAACCTCAAACCGTGATTGTGCAGTATATCGATATTATTATTATTTATTATTGACCAATACGATTCAACTTTCTTTATGTCTACCAAGGTCAATCGGCGGAAACAGTGGACATTGTGAATGCCAGTGGATTCATCTGATGTCACGATTAGAATTGTACAATATTGACGTCATCGATCGTGATTATTTCTCAGGGTGCGGGAGCTTGTTTTTTGAATGCAGTAAGTCGCATCCGTGATTAGGTATAGTCTGAAGAAAAGAATCAACAGACCCTGAAATCCAGTTTTACTTGTTAAAAGCGTTCGTATCAAAAGATTGAAAATGAAGAAAAATAAGCAACAGAAGACGCAATTATGCGTGCACGATTTAACTCAAATTGTTCTGATGATAAATTTAATCTCTAAAATTTAATTTTGATTCACAGAACAAAGATCATATGCGTCAAGCAATTTAACGTCAGTCGCAACGCAAGAATACATCACGGATCATGGAGAAAACCTGCAAATGACAGCAATTCCATCCACAAACCAAAACGTCACCGGATTGAATAAAAATAGCCAGCTACCCAGAGTTAGTTCGATTGCACTCGAGGTCAGGAACGGAATACTCTTTCATAACGGGTCGACAACATCATTGAATATATCGGATAAAGCAGCCCAAGAGTTTGTACTTCGATATGATCACGTAATTCGGGATCGAATCAATAAAATTGAAGATGATAGAACCAGAATGTTCTTAAGTAGCATGTTTCATCGCCAGATGAGCTTGTTCATTAAGACCTTCTTCGAACTTGAGACATTTTCACCAAACAGGTAGCAGCAAAAGTTCTTTTCATTGATACCGTATCGTTATAAGAGCAAGTATCTACTAGTGGATGCGACCTCCATTCCCCAGTTGCCACCCACATTCGCCTGTTCAGATTAAAAGCCCCGATTGCAAATGTTATTTTTCTATAGCCTATTTTTTCATAGTTTACAATACTATCGAAAAGTAGACGTCTCTATACGAACGAAGAATGATTTTCACAATTCCATACGTTGTTTCTAGCCTACATTGGTCAGCCTACACGTCCTCACAGAACCTGAGGCTGAAGTTTTAGCTTTAATTGTTATTATTATAAACGGATTTCCTCAAACTTAATGAATAGAAAGTAGGCCCCTATTGTATGTAATACAATAAAGCATATACACTAATTAGAGAATGCCTAAAGCAAAGTGATTGAATATTCAAATGTAATTAACTGTCGGTTAGAAAGTGTGTGTGTCTGTAGGGTTGTGAATGTGAGGGTGGTATCTATTATTAATTTGACCTATATCATGAGACCAACTACCGGTACATATTTTTAGGAATGTTCTTCATTTCTATGTCTATAATATTTATAGATACATCGATCAAATTAGTTCACAGGTGGTAATAATAAATGAAAGCACAAGACCTACATATGCAAACCAGACGATTGAAAATAGTGGGAACAATACAGAAAACAACCAACAGTTAATAATTGAGGAAACCACCGTGATAGCTATTGTTACCTGTATACCGATTGTGTCGTTCCTTATTATTTACACCACATTGCAGGTAGGGCCAGTGACAATACTACTGTACTATATTTTAAATGTTAATATTGACATTGCACTGGTTTTGGTTGAAGCCTATTTTGTTCTGACTTTCAGTAGTTTAGTTTTACGCTGTATAGATTAAAACGTAGTCAAAGTAGCCAATGTTGTTTCTACGGAGCCTTATAAACATAACTTATTGTTGAAGCTGAAAATAGTATAATGCTCTCTTATGGAATTGAAATCTGAGAATTAATGTTTTGGTTCAATTTTCACAAACTGAAGTTTTATTGCTATCATTGTGGTATTTCATAGTGTGTGTATGATGCCCGTAAGGACAAAGGCTACATCGAATTTTCCTCGGACAAGACGGACAACCAGAATTGGACAACTACCGATGGTCGAACAAGTGGCGATAGGTCGTGTTGTTGCGTCATGTGAGTCTTGAGAACTGAGTTTGTGGCAATTGCACGTCCTTTGCAATATAAAGCTTGTATTCCACGTCGCTTTTAGCACTTCAATATTAGTTGTTATTATAATATTAATAAGATGACCCCTAATAATTGTGCATAATTGTTTCTATATTTCGGTTCGATTTCGAAGGATCGAATGCATTGGATCTTTGGTCTTCCTCCAATTAATTGATCTCTAATTAGAACAATATCATCATGAAGATAAAACATAGTGGTTCATTTAGTGCCGCTGGAGTTTGTATTTATTTAGCAGGAGAGGGCACACGAGGGCTCTGCTGAGACTAACTAACGTAACATCGCTGGGAGAAATTCGCCATTAAAAAAACTGAAATAATATACAAATTCATGGTAATACAGATGACTATGCTATTTTAAAAACAAACTAGGCCATATATTATAAGAAATTACGACAGTGGAAACACATTGTATTGCTTTTTAAAAGTTTTTAAAATGATGTAAATGTTTCTTCTATTTTTTTTCCAATTTGTATTAACCACCTGTCTAATGAAGGTGCCTTAATGCAATAACGAGTAAGCTGGCGATTAGGAAGAAATATATGAATAATCGATCACCAAAGGAGACTCATTTCAGTCGTTTCAGGGAAATCCACCAGGAAGCAAAAACAGTAAAGTATTATTATTATTCATCTTAGGGCCTATTGTACACGACATCGAGTCGCCTTCATCTACTCGAGTATCGTAATTCTTACGAACATAATCATCATCGTACTGCTTTACTAACAATGGCATTATAGCATATAGTACTAATAGCAAAAGCATAATAGCAATAGCAAGAGTATGAGCAACAACAGCAATAAAAACAGCAACAGCAATAGCAATAGAAACAGCAACATCAACAATATTAGCAATAGCAACAGCAGGCCTATAGCATCTTTTTATTCTTTTTGTCCTATTTGAAATTGAAGTTTGGAGTTTAGGATGGCCCCTCGGAATCTGCGACAGCCACAGTAGTATCGACGTTAGCGGGCGCTATATATAGGCCTATATATATACATATATATCTGTCTCTTATACACATCTAGATGTGTATAAGAGACAGGTATCGTAGTGAATCACTAAAGGCTCATGATGTTTTGTTTAACTTTTCAATAAGAATCAAAACTTGAATTTCGGTTTACCAAAATTATGCCCTGCCGCGAGTTCATGAAAATGTCATTAATGTGTATTTGCTTTATATCAATTCTGCCAATTGCTTTAAAGATTTGTGATTTGTAATGCAAAACTCCATCGCAAATCTAGAGTAAAGGTGCTGCGTTAATATTAGTTTCAGCTATAGACTTGTTACTTATCGGTGTATTTTTCAATTATGGCTTAAACGAATGACGTTAGCAAAATTTGATTACTTCTAGGAAATTGATAATAAGAAAAGTGAGAATTGCACCAAGCCAACCCGAAATTTAAACGTGGTATCATCTTTAAGAAAACTCTCTCAAACGTTCTTCCCGGTACAAAAGGAAAAGAAGTTCGGAAGCGACTCATCACATATAATTTCATTGGAGGTGGAGTATCCAGTGCGTAAACCTAGAGGCGGTACAATGGTCTATAGTTCGGATGATACGTCTAACTCTGACAAAAGTTGTGGAGACGAAGCCGAAATACTGAACACCAATGCGAATCATTCCACATGTGCAGATCCAAATGATTCCTTCTTTGAAGAAATTGAGCTGCCGTAAGGTAGTCTAGCAACTTATTCATATGTGTATGTTTTCGTCTAGATATGCCACTCAAATATTCAACAGAGTATCGGTATGCTAGTTTATAACTGTGCTTAGTATTCTTTAGGCCTTCTTAATTTAGAATAATCTAACGTATCAGTTGAATTACTATAATGTGTTTAATTATCTTTCAATATGCATGTGTTGTGTATGATTATATTTATTAGACCTTTATATAAAAGTATATTGTAGGCCTAACAACCGTTTATTTATGCCCAAATCTATACATTAAATGTGTATAGATTTAATAGTTATGCGTAAGGCCTATATATACATACAAATATATAATAATAATAATAATAAGAATAAGAATAATATATTGGCCTGTTAATACGGTATCATTCTGAATTATTAAGCAACCATCACTGTAGAATTAATTTTCGTTTATACACTCAAAAATCACGATATGCAACTATAGGGTATATTTTATGAAAGAACTATTATAACAAGCTGCATAATCCGAATAAAATCATGAAAAAGTCGAAACAGACTGAGAATGTAGTCTACACTTCCCCATGTTGTACTTGGTATTTGTGCGGTCCCATGCTTACGACAATTGTGAGAGTAAAGTGAAGCAATTACACTGCATTTTATTCTTCAGCTCCTAGGCTCTGTTCCAGATTACCCTGTTAGTCGAATGTTTTCTTTCAGATGCTGTCATCATGACGGTACATGTTGTATTGTATAACTCAAAAATTCTAATTTTTTTAGCCTGCTTTGTTTCCTAAGAGTGGGACAGTCCTGTGATGGCTCTGTGTCGTGACTGCTCCTTGGACATGACACTGGAACTTGTAGTTTTTTAAATGCAAAAGTTTGTACTTCCATACGCCTGGAATTGACGTCAGGCAGGGACGTTTTAGGGTGAAGGCAATGATATGATGAAAACCTTCATTCATTTTCACCTCCATTCTTGTAATTTGTGTAGAGCCATATATTGTCAGCACTATCTTTACTCACAAAAGTGTATATTTTTTTTATGAAGAGCAACAAAAAATACATAGGCTTACGTAATATGGAATATAGTTATTTGTTTTAGGTATCTGATGCTCAGCATTCAATCTGGCCCCCGGTTGATGTTTTTGATATTTCAAACAGCAAGTGGTAATATTATGAACACTGTTTTTACCAATCAGTTCTTTTAACATCGAAACTGAATTGGCTTTCGATATTAAAAAAAAAATATGTGTTCGTATATTACTGCACAAAATATTTATCAGCTTCTCTGTGTGTGGTATGCATTACACAAATACGAGAATAACCTTACGAACCAAACTTCGTTATATACACACATCTCATATCTCTAGGCATTTGATTGAAATCAATGCTGAAATATTTTGTTGAACGTCAATTTAGGACAGGTGATTTGGAGCCAAATCAAATTTATCATTGATGGAAGGCGGAAAGACATATTTGGAGGGCGCTCTAGGCGACAGCTCAAAACAAGAAATATTATCGCGCGTGCTCAAATGAGGCGAATTCACACTTATTTAATCATAATTATCATCGCATGATCTGAAAACCACCTCATTCATTACCATGGCCGTAAAAATGGATATTATCTTCTAAATACACATAATACAAAAAAAGACTTACACCATTATAATAATCAGTGATCATCATACTTATGAATATTATTAACATCAGTCATCATATATGGGCTTACGGTGTACCACAATTCAACTAATTCTGTTAAACTCCTATTTATTAGTAGTCCTTAGAGTCTACATAACAATAATAAGAGTCCTAATATGATGACGATTATGATAATAGATGTGATGATGGTGATGATGACGATGACGATTTGTGGATGATGATGACAACGATTGTTAAGCATGATGATGGTGGTGATGATTATGATGATGGTCAAATGCACTTTTTCTGATGTCTCTTTATATTTTACATTTTATATGTTATCTTCATTTCTATTTCATATTGCTGCTTTTTGAAATTTTATATATTCTTAACATTAACAATAACATTTATATAGCGCACATCCTACAACATACATCGTAATTAGCGGCGCTTTACATGACAAGTTTAATTTACTTTTATTTTATTTATTTATCTATTTACTTATTTATTTATTATTTATTTATTCATTATTTATTTATTTATTTATTCATTCATTCATTCATTCATTCATTCATTCATTTTTTTTTTCAATTAATAACCATTGGCCTCCGGGCCACGATTTGTGGAATTTTGAATTAAAACTGAATTGAATGGTGGTGATGATGATGAGGACGATGATGACAACAATAAAATAATGATTATGATGGTGATGGTAATGACGATAATCAAATCAACAACATAGCAATCTTGCATAGCGCAACAAACCAACACTGCCTCTATGTGCTTCACCTCGTTACCTGGTGGTCTTTGGACCAAGTACTAATGACACACATATTTAGCTTTTTTTGTTAGAGATAATCCCATAATACATAAGCGCTGGTAGTGTATGAGCCTACCAATTACCTATTGGATAAGTGGCAGCTCTTAATATATGGACTGTCTTTCCCGACAACACAAGCGAAAGGCACAGCGAGATGTTCGAGCTTCCGACCTCAAGGTTGACAGCACATAGTAATCAAAATCATCAGCATCGTCATTATCATGGTCGTCGTTGTCGTCATCACCATCATCATCATCAGAATCATCAACAGCATGACCATCATCAGCATCAACAAAACCATATTCCATGCTGCACTCCATGAGTATGTTATTTAGGGATAGAGCTAGCATATGGCTCTCTTACTTCTGTAAACCTACATTTAATATTTAAAATTGAAAGTCTATTACTGAAAAATTAAAATCCACTCAATCAACAACCACCTTTTCATACAAACCCAAAGGCAACAGACACCTAATAAAGGTACATTCAACTCAAATTATCAAAATAACGTCACTTGAGTGTTCTTTAAACCTCTTTCTAAATGGGTCAAATTATTTTAAGATTAACATATTCCTTAATTGAAAAATATTCAAGCCAAATGATTATTGCGGTGTTTTCTTCACTAAACATTAGCGAAGAATTATTAGGTTTACCGTATGAATTATTAATAAGAAAACGCGCATATTGTAGCCTAGGCAGGTGTCTCTGTTTCCGCTGATATTTGAATCAAAATAAGTCCGTTGATGTGTATTCTTAGGCCTACTAAGCCTTTTCACACTGGATTTAGTTTTTTTTTCTGAAGAATGTCAAATAAAACACTGTAGGCAAATCCTTAATGCCATAGGCCTATATTATACTCATTGGGCTCAATATCCTCCATTCGATAAAGTTCCCTGTGAATTAGTTTTCTTGTACACATAGAAGTATTCTTATGCCTAAATATGGATCTGCAAAAAATAATTTGTGAACAATCATTATTGTAAACTGAAGAGGAGAGCATGTAAGGAGAGGGGGGGAGGGGTGGTGGTGGTAGTGGTGGTGAGGGGGACAGGTTCTACCACAAAAAAAACAAGTTGTGCTAGGTACCGTTTGTCACAATTTGTATAAAGTATATACCTATTAGTAATCTTATATAGGCCTATCTTAATATCGAAACATCATACTAACATTGATAATAATAATAATGATAGTGATAATGACAATAATAATTACAACTGTAATAATTATGAATACAGGTTTCTCTCTAATTAAAGACCACTTGAGTTTTCATGGTATAGCAGCTTTAGTCTCTAATTAGAAGAATAATGATAAAAAACATTTTGTTAATTTGGGACCACAGAAAAGTGGTCTTTAAATTGAGGTGGAGGTCTTAAATTAGAGGGAGACCTATATACTATGATGACGATGATAAGGATTATAATAATAATAATATTAATAAATATAACATTATTGCATTGACCTTATTGGTGGAGGCCTTGCATTATTTACATTTGTAGGTCCTAACTGCACTGTCTCCCGCTTTCTGGAAAGTATTCCTATAGTTATAGCTTATAATATTTAGCTACACTAAACTACACAACATAGGATATTCAAATTCTTCCCATTCCTAGATGGAGAGAGAAAAATACAAATGAAATGCATTGTAAATGTAGGCCTAGTGGTAATAAGAGATTCGAACATGGTTCAGAATATCGTAACTGCAAACAACTCCTAAATTCAAGTGTCAAATAAAATCGGCCATTTTTTTTACTACTCTAATGGAAGTTGTTCTTCATATCAAAATTAGATGTATTTCTAATAGTTAATATGTACCGGTAATCATTAAGATAACTTGAAAGGATGAGTCAGAACTTTGCAAAAGAGGATTTATGCGATTAGGAAATCCAGCCATGCCATTTGAAATGTTGAGTGAGAAAACAGATATCTAGATGTGTATAAGAGACAGTATATATATACACCAAAACCTAGCAGGCTATACGAATCAAAAAGAAAGAATAAAAAAAGGCTATATGTTTATGAGCTATGGAACATACATAAGCTCTGTCAATTTCTGAAACAGGAATCTTTAAGAAAATATTTTTTTGGCTGTGTTGAAATCTTGAACTGACACTTTGTAAGGCTAACATTCACGGGTAGACACTATCACATTTAATAATCAAAATTCGAAAGTGGTTTCTCTCAACATTATTTAAGTATCCGTAAAAAACAGCAGGAGCGGTTTGGCGCACTGGTTGCTCTACTTATTCTCAAGCTTGAGGTCGGAGGTTCATTCCCTCGATGTGCATTTCGCTTGTGTCCAAGGGCAAGGTACTTTATGCGGTTGTCTCTCTCCGCCCAGGAGTACAAGTGGGTCCCAAGTAGGTTGAAACACAAAATGCGCTGATTACAGCTGCAACATTATGAATTTCTCCTCAGGGAGCTGAGTACTCAGTATGTGTTCCATATCTGCTTGTTCCCAGTGACCGGTGGTAATAATGTGAAGCACTTAGAGGCATTGTTGGCATGATGCGCTATATATAAGCATAACATATTATTAAATTATAATGCATCCCTCAATTTCCCTGTTGTTAACATCTATTTTCTCATTCATTTTCAAAAGTATTAAGAAAGTCACTGAGAGGGGTGAACGGTGGCAAACTACTATCCCATGGTCAATAAATATAGACGAGCTAATGAATTAGGCCTACAGCTATTTTGGATACCGGCGGCACATCTTAAACGCCATCGTCTTATTCTAATTAGACATGAACTTTTTAATTGTAAATGTATTAATTCGGTGTACTCTCAATAGATTTGTTGTACTCTTCAATTAATTGAAAAAATATATCAACCTTATACTGAATAGAAAATACAGATAGGCCTATTATACAAAACATGTTGGATGCCATCTTATTTTTCATTATTCTAATTAGTCAATCAAACTTAGGCCTACATCAATACATTACATGCCGCGACTCTGAAAACAGGTGCAGACAAAAATTATTGAACTAGAGTGAATTGTAAATACTTTCGTCCAATTTTGTGTATTAACGGCCATTTTTCGACGCCATCTTGGAAATGTAATTGTCATATTAATCATTTGTTGCAAAAATCTTTCTTCGGAAAAAGA